CATGTCTTGACCATTGCTAGGAATCTGGACTCCACAGAGTTTGCTCTGTTTATTTCTGTTGCTGCCCTGCCTTTGAACCAGGTGACAAGGAACCAGACAAGGTGGTTAAAAGCAGTTGTTTTTAATCCCACGCCTTTAATCCCAGCACTTGGGAGGCAGAGAGAGGCGGATCTCAGTGAGTCTGAGGCCAGCCTGGTCTACAGAGCAGAGCGAGTTCCAGGGCAGTCACGACTGTTGCACAGAGAAACCCTGTCTCGGACGGGAGTGAGGGGTGGGGGTAGGGTGGGGATGGACGCAATCATTCAACACACACACAGCCTGGCTGAATTTGAGTTTGCTCAATACAGTGTGTGTGGAGGGGGGGAGTGTTTGTATCCTTGGGGTCCTAACAGGCCTCTGTGAGTTTGCATAGGCAAAGCCCCTAAGACAGACACGAGGTCCACTTGTTTATATACTAGGTGTGATAGTGATGCCCAGTGCTGTTATGGTTGATCTTTGTAGCCAAGTGAGACTTCAGATAAAGACACTTGAGCACTGTTTGCTTTTAAAAGAAGAGTTTTGGTTGATTAGTCTTAATTACGTGTAGGTGTGTGTCTGCGTGTGCCTTGTGAGTTCAGGTGCCTGGTGTGGGAGGTCCTGTCTGTGTGTTGCTTTTATTGGTTAATGAATAAAGAAACTGCTCTGAGCCTATGGCAAGGGCAGAACAGAACTAGATGGGGAAAGCTAGGCTGTCTGCTGGGAGAAAAGAGGGCGGAGTTGGAGAAGAAGCCATGGAGCCACCACAGGAGATAGGCGTGCTGAAACTTTGCTGGAGGCCACGACCTTGTGGTGACGCACAGATTACTGGAGATGGGTTGAATTAAGATGTTGGAATTAGTCAATAAGAAGCTAGAGCTAATGGGCCAAGCAGTGATTTAAATACTATGGTTTCTGTGTGATTGTTTTGGTTCTGGGCGCCGGGAATGAACAAGCGACCCTTTCTGCAACAGGTGTCAGAGCGTCGGGTCCCTTGGAGCTGGAGTTATAGACAGTTGTGTGCCTTTTGACACTGGGGCTGGGAATGGAACTCAGGTCCCATGGGAGAGCCACAGGTGCTCTTAACCACTGAGCCATCTCTTGGCCTCTGAACACTGCTCATGACGACTTTTGTTCAAACTCAAATGGTGAGGACTGGGATGTGGCTCAGTCACCTAGCTCTTGCTTAGCAGGCCCTGGGTTCCTTCCAGTGCGAGGAGAACAAATGAAGGGCTGTGCCCACCCACATCAGCCACCTGCCAGGCTTTGTTGTGACTGGTGGGATCCGTGCTCCTCCCTAGAGCACAGTTTGGGAACTACTGACAGACACAGTGGAAGGAATCCATGCTTTGGAAAGAAGAGCTGGAGCCGGGCCCTGACTGTCAAGCTGTGTGACTTGAGCCGATTAATACCCTCTCTGGGCTTTCAGGGTTTGGGCAGTAGGTTTTAGGAGTCTGACCAGGCAGTGTTTTCGGAAGTGCTCCATTAAGCCCTAACAGTCCCAGACAAGGTCCAAAAGGGCTTGGAGGGTCAGTAGCAGGGGGCATGCTGTGCAGGAGCGACAGAAAAGGAGGCCTGTGAAAGGAAGAGAGGACCTGGGATGGGAGCTGACCCTTGAGTGATCCTGGCAAGGTGGAGGCGGGGGAGGGTCAGTGACACATCTCCAAGAATGTGGGGGGGGGGGGGGGGGGGTGCGCGCAGACCTCCGTGGATAGCAGAGCCAGCTTGTGTCTGTGAGGCAGGAATGCAGGGTGTGGCCTGGTACCTGGAGGAGAAGGAGTGGAATCCGGGCAGCAGGCGGGAGGGAGTGCAAGGCTCGCTGGAGGGTATCCATGCTGAGAGGTTAGAGGTGAGCAGAGAGGGTGCTAACAGGCAGCTAGGAGCAGAGGGCTGGTGGGACCAGGGTCAGAGGTCGTTTTATTCAGAGACACAAGGTCAGGGAAATCAGTCAGTTGGGAGGAATATCGGGTGGTGGGGGAGGCAGGAAGGCCAAGGTGGAATTTAACTGGAGCTGACATCCTGCCAAAGGAGTAAGGAAGAGGATTGACGACTGGGAGAGAGGCCTTATGATAGAAGGCGGCCAGCCGCAGAGCAGGGAAAGGTTGGGAAATACTAAAAGCCCTGCAATCTGCCTCCAAGATTTAGTTCCATTGTCTTTAATGACAGAGTGTGCCCCGTTGGAGTCTAGAAAAGGGAGAATCTTGACCTAAAATCACCAGAGTCTAAGGCGTACTAGTTAGGGTCACTATTGCTGTGATGAAACACCATGACCAAAAGCAACTTGGGGAAGAAAGCGTTTTTTTGTTTTTAAGATTCATTTATTATTTATTAAGATTATTATTTATTATGTATATAGTGTTTTGCCTGCATATATGCCTGCAGGCCAAAAAAGGGTGCCTGATCTCATTACAGATGGTTGTGAGCCACCATGTGGTTGCTGGGAATTGAACTCAGGACCTTTGGAAGAGCAGGCAGTATTCTTAACTGCTGAACTATCTCTCCAGCCCCGGAAAAGGGTTTATTTCACTCATGGTTCCATACAACGGTTCATTAGCATGGAATGGTTCATCAGCACAGAACTTAAGCAGGGCAGGAACCCGGAGGCAGGAGCTGATGCAGAGGCCATGGAGGGTGCTGCTTACTTGGCTTGTTCCCCTGGCTTGCTCAGTCTGCTTTCTTATAGAACCCAGGACCACCAGCCCATGAATGGGATGGGCCCTTCCCCACCAATCACTAATAAGAAAATGCCTTACAGGGCTGGAGAGATGGTTCAGTGGTTAAGAGCACTGGCTACTCTTCCAGAGATCATGAGTTCAGTTCCCAGCACCCACATAGTGGCTCACAACCATCTGTAATGAGATTTGGTGCCCTCGTCTGGCCTGCAGGCATGCATGCATGCAGAACACTGTATACATATTAAATAAATAAATTTTAAAAAAAAAAAGAAAAGAAAATGCCCTGCAACCCGATCTTACAAAGGTATTTTCTCAGTTCAGTTTCCTCTTTTCCAATGACTCTATCCTGGGTCAAGTTGAGAAAACTAACCAGCACACAAGAGGACTCACCATAAATATCCTTCCCATATTTTCCCCTGTATTAAAAAAAATCAAACTGTAAACTCCAGACCCGCCCCCGTCCCCACAACAGTTACAATGTGTCCCACCACAGGGCCTCTGTCCTTGTCTTACATATTAAGTTCTGTTTATTTATTTGTGTGTGTGTGTGTGTGTGTGTGTGTTCCTTAGAGCAAAAGTGAAGGCCAGGGGACAACTTGCAGGCATCGGTTATTTCTCTCCTTCCACACATGCTGAACCATCTTGAAGCTCCTCTGTCTGAGCTTTTCAGAGCCTAATTCTATAAAAGCATCAGCCACCCAAGTTTTAAATTTACATCAACCTGATTTTTTTTTTACGCTTATTTATTTGTAAGAGCACACCATAGTATGCGTGTGGAGGCCACAGGACAGCTTGAGGAAACTTTTCCCTTTCCCTCAGACAGGTTCAGAGGCTGAAGTCAGGTTGTTGGGCTTGGTAGCAAGCACCTTCACCCACCGAGCCGTCTCACCAACCTTCCATCCCCCTAATCTACTCCATAGAGGGTGCTTTCAGTGCACAGTGTGAGCCTCAGACTTGTGGGTTCACGATAGGGCATCCTGCATCCGCTGTAACTCAGGCTGGCCTCCAACCCACTGTGTAGCCAAGCCTGGGTTTCTAATCCCCCTGCTTCTACCTCCCGAGTGCCAGGGTTCCGGGTGGCTTGAACCCCGGACTTGTCAATCCTTCCTAACCGTCTCGTCACAGCTAACATTTTTCTTCCTCTTCCTTCCCCACGGGCAGCATAATAAGTGTGCCACTTACTCTGTGGGGATGCAGAAGACGTACTCCATGATCTGCCTGTCCATGGATGATGAGAAAACTGACAAAGCCAAGAAGATCTCAAAGAAGCTCTCCTTTCTGAGTTGGGGTACCAGTAAGAACAGGCAGAAGTCGGTCAGCACACTTTGCCTCCCGGAGGTTGGCCTGGCAAGGCCTCAAGCCAAGAAGAAACTCCCCACGCCCTTCAGCCTGCTCAACACCGATAGCTCGCTGTACTGAAGTGGGGGGGGGCACACCATAGTTCACTCCGCGGCCGACGAGTTCACACCTGAGCCACGACGGGAACGTTCTCCAGCCCCATCTTCTCCGAGTGGGAACTTGCATTTGATGGGCTTATGAGCGTGAGAAGACGCCTCTAGAGATGGGTGGGAAACGCAGCTGTGCGGGGATTTTCACACCGAGCTGCGGTTATTTATTCTATGTGACGTGCATGGCTCTTCGTGACAGCCAGGGTTATGACAGTTCAGGCACTGTTAAGAAATGAATGGGAGCCACCTACCTTGGTATATTTTTGAGTGTCGAGATTTGGAAGGTAATAGTGATTTCTTAACCTCAAGTTCAAATGACCCTTAAACGGGGGCAGGTTAGGGGTGATTACTGAAGCTAGGCTGCTTGGCAGATCTCTGTGAGTTCAAGGTCAGTCTGGTCTACATGGTGAGTTCCAGGACTACCAGGGCTACATAGAGTCCCTGTCTCAAACAAACAAAACAGGCTGCTTTAACTCCTTGGGAATTCAGAGCTGAAAATGGCAACATTTTATGTCATTCCTTCACGATTTGAATGTCATTTCCCAGCTAGAGTCCAGTCCAGTGCCTTTTTTTTTTTTTTTGCCTTGGCCTGATTTTTCAGGATCAGCTTTCCCTCCAGCCGGATCCAGCTGACCAGTTGCTAACACAGCAGCGATGCTGGGAGATACTGTCTACAGGGTAGATAATATGTTGTTTGATACTCAAAACATCTCTCCTTTCATTTGAAGTAGGAGGTATGTAGCTGTCTTTGAAGAGTCTTGGGTTAAGAAGTAGCTCTGCAGTTTACAAGGTTGAAGACGAAAGCTTCCTCAAGCCGACACCTCGCCCTGACTTTTTAAGCTGTATCTATCTACCTACTAACTTGACTTTGGGGCTATAGGTTGGATGACGCTGTGACTCTTTTTCTGTAGTCATGGTCGACATAGTTTAAGTGATATGCTTAAAGAGGTAGCCTGTGCATCTTAATTGGAGAAGTCACAAGGATTTAATTATTTTTCTATTGTGCAATATCTTAAGAAAGCAAATGCCTTTAGGAAAGTGTCTCCACTGTCCCCGGGGCTGTTTGTATACATATTTAAATAAATAGTCGCTTCATTGTTTGAGCTAATATTTTTCTTTGCTCTGGGCGGTGGTGGCGCACGCCTTTAATCCCAGCTCTTGGGAGGCAGAGGCAGGCGGATCTCTGTGAGTTCGAGGCCAGCCTGGGCTACAAGAGCTAGTTCCAGGACAGGAACCAAAAAGCTGCGGAGAAACCCTGTCTCGAAAAATCAAAAAAAAAAAAAATTTTTTTTCTTTGCTTTTATTTCGTTTGAATTATTTCTTCTGAACTGTTATTCGTCTAAGGCACAAAATGTTTTTATTGTGTTGAGAGGGGAGGAAGCAGGAAGAAGAGAGGCGTTTGTTTACATTGGCAGGGACTCCAGAACACGGGTACCTGCCGTGTGCGGAGAGGACCTGAGCTGTGACCCTGACATGGGAACACGGGCACTCCCACGGTGCCCGGTCCTCACAGCCAGCGCCTGGAACCTCACAGGACCTCTCAATGGCAGCTGCAAGGGAAGGTGCGCATAGAAACCTGCTCGAGCTGGCTGCTGCTGCTGCAGTGACTTTGGCTCTCTCTAGATATCCCCTCGGGATCCTTTTCATCTTAGCAGAGAGCGGGTAGGGCCACCCACGGTACCCGAGGCCCATAAGGTCGCTCCGGGACGGACAACAAGGCAGGCGAGCGCCATCGGTCCTCGCTTTGTCTTTCGCTTGATGCCAGTGAGAGGAGGACATTTTTCTTCCTTTTTAAGCACGAAACCAGATGCTGTAGTTTCTAAAGGAGGAAAAGTTAGCTGCGGGGCTGCTGTCACCGCGGCTGGGTGAAGAAGGTGTGGATTTGCTGTGCTACCGCAAGTCCGACAACCTCCTGGAGTTCTTGGACGGAAGCGTTACTCAGTTGCTGGATGGTCGGAAACTTCTGGAGCAGAAGAGGAGCCTTAACTTTTCCCACCCCTGGGATCTGCTGCACCGTCTGAACAAGGGACAGCTCAGAGAGCATACACCGCTTCTTCCTGAGGAAAGGGTTCCTGCTGGGCTCCCTGGTTTGCTCCTGAACCTGGAAGGGAAAATTAAAGAAAAGTACAATGGGCGCCCTCTGGTGGAAATAGTTTCTGTAAGAAATGTGTGCCTGTGGTTTGTGCGCGCGCGCGTGCGTGCGTGCGTGCGTGTGTGTGTGTGTGTGTGTGTGTGTGTGTGTGTATGCATCGCTGTACTCATGTCCGTGCCTGGTGTGGGAGTCAGAGACTGACGCTGGGCGGCTTCCTCTATTGCTCTCCACCTTATTTTCGGAGGCAGGGTCTCCTGCTAAGCCCAGGACTCACTAACTTGGTGAGAATGGCCCGTGAGCTCCACAGACCTTCCAGTCTTCACCTCCCCAGCACCAGGGCTATCAGAGTGGCAACCACTGGCTCTTTCCATGAGTTCTGGACTCTCAGGGACTTGGCCCTCATATCTGTGCAGCTGCTATACCAACTGTGCATTTCCTCAGCACCCTTAACACAGCTTTTCCATTTAGGTCAATGTATGGGCTTTCACATGCCAGAAATACAAATTCTTAAATATTGGTGAGATTATTTAAATAGATGAAAAAAACAAAAGTAAAAAAAAAATTCAGAGACCTGTTTAAAACAGGAGCTGTAGCAGCTTGCCTAACAAAAGAGAAGCCCGAGTCACATGAGGTAGTGCGTACCTGCAATCTCAGCACTGGGAGGCTAAGGCAGACGTAGATCTGTGAATCTGGGACCAGCCTGGTCTATGTTGTGAGTTCTAAGCTAGCCAGGCTTACACAGTGAGACCCTGTGTCAAAGAACAAATTAGGAGGTACCAGGGGTGTGACGACAATCTGACTATGACACCTGCCACTTTGCTAACAAAGCACATTTGACTGAAGAGGACAAAGGTCGCCGACATTCTTCAGTCAAGAGTGAGAGCTGTGTGTCCCTGCTAGGACTTCTACAAGCTCTCAAAGGAGAAACAGACCCCTCAGCTAGTGGCGGTTATACCTTACACCCAGACTGACGTGAGCATTCTCCTACAGGCGGAATACTGGAGGTGGCAGAGAGAAGTCAGGACGCCATGGCCTGCCTGCATTTCCAATTTACTTCCCAACCCTAGGTGCTCATCCACTTAGCAGCGGTAACCCAGGGGCTGGTCAAGGTGGCTGCACACGTCTGGAATCCAGGCAAAGGTAGAAGGAGAGAGTGGACCCCACGAAGTTGTCCTCTGACATCTACAAGCATGCCATGACATATGTGTCTCTATACATATAGTGCATGCACAATCATGATTTTTAAAAATTAACCTTAGTAACACAATAACTCACATACCAAAAAAATACTCAGGCCCTATCCTGGTCCGAGGTAAACCGCATATATCACATTTCCCCCCACAGCCAGGAATTGACCTCGGCCTCAAGTGGTCTACCTCAGAGTTAGATATAATCTAATCCTGTCACTTTTTTTTTTGAGACAGCCTTACTGTGCAGCCCAGAGAGGCCCCAAAAGCTGGACTGTAGGCCTGCTCCATGAACCTGCCTCCCGACATCATTTCTATTAATGGATTTATTTGTTTGACTTTTGTGAATTGTTATTGGGGCTTGTCGTGGATGGGAAATGCTCTCTTACATTATTTGGGGGGAGGCATGCATGTGCCATTGCGTGCATGCAGAGGTCAAATACAATTTGTGGGAGCAGAATCTCTTCTTTCACCATATGCTCTCTAGGGATGGAACACATGAGCTTCAGGGGGTTCACTTCAGAGCGAGCCCCACTGAACAACTAGCCAGCTCTTGACACTTTTACAAAAGTTCCCCAGGAGAGCCAGGTATGGCATAATGCCAGACTCCCAGTACAGGAAGCTCAGGTAAGTGGACTGCAAGTGTGAAGTCAGCCTGGACTTCGTGAGAAGCTGCAAGCCAACCCGGGCTCCATAGTGAGACCTGGTATCCAAGAGCAAACAAGCTCCCCAGGAGAATGTGATGAGCAGAGGGACTGAACGCTCAGGAGCAGAGCAGTCAAGACACCAACGACATCTACTTTTGTTGTGTGAGTGTATTCGCGCAGGGCATGCACGTCTGCATGCATGCAAAGACCAGAGGTCAACCTTGAGTGTTCTTCAGGCTCCATCCACCTGTGGTTTGGAGCAGGGCCTAGGCTGGCTGGCCGGCAAGCCACGGGGCATCTGCCTATCTCCCCAGGGCTGGGATTCCATGTGTGGCGTCAGGGGTTTGGGAGAGATCAGACTTAGGTCCTCGTGCTTGTGTAGCAAGTGTTCTAACCACTGAGCCACCCCCCAGGCTCAGGATTATTTAAGAGATAAATGCGGGGCTGGAGAGATGGCTCAGCGGTTAAGAGCACTGACTGCTCTTCCAAAGGACCCGGGTTCAATTCCCAGCATCCGCGTGGCAACTAACAACTGTCTGTAACTCCAAGATCTCACACCCTCACACATACATGCAGACAAAACACCCATGCAAATAAAATGAAAATATTAAAAAAAAGAAATAAATACAGTAAGTCTATATACAATGGTGGTAAATATTTGTGATTTGAAGGACTAGGGAAGGAGAATCAGGAGGACCAGGAGCTCAAGGGCAGCCTGGGCTACAGGAGGTGCTATGGGGGAGGGGGACACCCCAAAAACAAAGAACAAACCAAGAAAGTGTGATACTTAAACAATGGCATGCTAGAAAGACACAAAGGGGCTGCCAGTTTCTAGTACAAATGCAGGATAATGATAGCATCAGGGCAGCCTGGAGGCCAAAATCAGAGCCCCAACTTGTTCCCTTTGTAACCATCATCAGTGCAAAGGTTTCACAAAATCAGAGAGGCCTCACTTGGTTGGCACAGTATTTGCCTTGCATGCGGTAAGCCCTGGGTTCAATCTCCAGCACTGCCTAAAACCCAGTGTGGTGATACAGGCCTGTAAACTCAGCTACAAGAGACCCAACGTCAAAATTATTTTGAGAAGGCCAGGTGGTGCACACCTTTAATCCCAGCACTTGGGAGTCAGAGGCAGGATCTCTGAGTTCAAGGCCAACCTCGTTCCAAGAGTTCCAAGACAGCTAGGGCTACAACAGAGAAACCCTGTCTCGAAAAAACAAACAAAGACAAATAAAAAAATGTTTAGGGCTGCAGAGATTGTTCAGCAGTTACTGGTTACTTTTCTAGAGGACCAGGGTTCAATTCCCAGCATCCAAATGGCAGCTCGCAACTGCGTTCTAGGAGAGCTGGTGCCCTCACACAGACATACATGCAGGTAGAAACACTAACGCACATTAAATAAAAATAAATCTTAAAAAAATACTTAGAGAAACCAACCCCACTATAATAAAGGCAGCTTTGGTAAGGATCAGAGGCAAATGGAGACTCTACTGGGCGGGAAGTTGGAAAGGAAGAACCGGGTACTTACCAGCTGGATAATGAGGCAGGATGCTTCCAACTGGCTGGCCACTGGGAGCAACACCATCCCAAGGTAAAGCACGGTAAACTTCTGGACTGCTGAGAAGTACTGGTCACTTATCTGCGTTTTTTCAACTATTACGATCCCTTGAAGATGCCCAGACTTCAAGAGAAAAGACAGCACGTGATTTGGTAGCACACTCCTTTTAAAGTTCAGAAACTCTGGAGGTGGGTGGCCCTTGGACTTCCCACAGGGCAGGGAACCCTGATTGCTCTTTGGGCTGACGAGGGAGGGGGACTTGATGGAGGAGGGGGAGGGAAATGGGAGGCAGTGGCGCGGAGGAGGCAGAAATCTTAAATAAATAAATGAATAATAAAGATTATCAAGTGGGNTGACGAGGGAGGGGGACTTGATGGAGGAGGGGGAGGGAAATGGGAGGCAGTGGCGCGGAGGAGGCAGAAATCTTAAATAAATAAATAAATAAATAAATAAATAAATAAATAAAATAAAGTTCAGAAACTTATCCCTTAGGGCTTGGGAAGGTTGAGAGGGGTGATGGAGATGCAGGGAGATGTTGGGGTTCGGCACCTCGGATTCTGTACTTACATTTCTAACACGAACAAGTCTCTTTCTGTAGCCATGTCCGGCCACCAAATCCGCCTCAGTGACATAGAGGATGCAAGATCTGCTGGACAGGTAAAAATCTGCCAATGGCAGACCCTCCTCAAACGTGAGTTTAACTTTTCCTTAAAACACAGACAAGAAAAGTGATTAGGAATTCCAGATAATAAGGAGTTATCTGTTGCTACAGTGAGAATGTGCTTGTATGAAGACTCATTTTTAAAATGTGGTGTGTGTGTGTGTGTGTGTGTGTGTGTGTGTGTGTGTGGACATGTGTGCACATGTATGCAGGTACCCGGAGAGGCCAGAAGAGGGCATCAAATCCTCTGAAGCAGAATTAAAAGCAGTAATGAGCAGCCCAATGGGGGTCCTGGGGATGGAGCCATCTCTAGGGCCTCTTTTTAATTAAAAGAAAAAAATGATGTATATATTTTACTTGCATTTATGTCTGTGCACACCTGCGAGTCTAGTGCCCCAAAGCTCAGAAGAGGGAGGAGTCTGGGCCACCACGTGAGTGCTGGGAATCAAACCAGGGTCCTCTGCAAGAGCAATCCGTCCTCTTAACCGGTCTCATTTTATTTATTTATTTTGGTTTTTCAAAACAGTGTTTCTCTGTAGCTTTGGTGCCTTTCCCGGAACTAGCTCTTGTAGACCAGGCTGGCCTCGAACTACCAGAGATCCCCTGCCTCTGCCTCCCGAGTGTTGAGATTAAAGGCGTGCGCCACCACCGCCCGGCTTTATTTATTTATTTAGGGACAGGCTGTCATAGTCCTAGCTGGCCTCGAACTTGAATGTAGCCCAGGTTGGTCTCCAACTCAATCCCTGCCTCAGTCTCTGGAGGAAGGAACCTCACCATCCCCAGCGTTCCTCCTTCCCCTTTAATGTGATGGGAAGAAAGGAGTATGAGAGAAGGCAGCCACTCACTAACCTTGCAGCTCCTGAGCCAGTTGGGACCCGCGCCACTTCTCATTAGCCACAATATATCCCAGTGGCACGTGCACGAGACCTGTACCACCCGGAGAGTTCCTTTCCATCCGCGGTTTTGGTCTAATGACAAAAACACAAGACCACACTAGAACGGGTTCTACACTAAGTCCCGGCTTCTCTGGGAGGATCTGCGGAGTGGCTTTTCAGTCATTGATTTCTATCAGCCGAAATAAAAATTCCAGAAATTTCTTCTTTTAAGAAAATAACACTAGGTCTCATTATGATGCTCGGCTCTCTACTGACAGCTGGCTGGTAGCTCAGGCTGGATTCGAATTCAGCCTCCCAAGGGCTGGAATGACAGCCGCGCGCCACCACGCCGGGGTAAATCCAGAAGGATCCTGTCGTAGTCCGTTCCTCCTTTTAAATACCTTCTTAAGATTTGGTGTCCTAACAGGGAGCTGAGGGTAGTTCCTCTGTCCAGTCCCTATGAGAGGCTGAACCAGCAGGAAAGCTCACGGTGCCGGTATCTGGAATCTCCGAGCACGGCACCTGAGGCCGTGCCACTTCCGTGTTCCTACAGTCCGATCCTCCCCCCTTTTTTTTAATTTCTGCCCGCCTTCTTCAATGTCGGATTGGCTAATTTTACAAGATTGACTTCTAGTATAACCAGTAATAGAACGGAAGACTCAGCTTGCCTCCTCATTGGCTGGAATTTGAATGACGCCTTGTAACGTTGTCAAGAGCAACGGGTGAGAGTAAAATTGACTTTGATTGGTCAAGACTCAGAACAGAGCCAATGGGAGGCATGGTTGTTGTGAAGTCTCTGGGTCCGCGGGAGCTGGGCTGTGCTCCTATTAGTCCCGGGCCGGGTACCGAAGCCCACATCCCACAATCAGGATGCTCCTCAGCTTCCGCAGGAACCGCCGGAGCCAGTTCGTGAGTAGGCCATGCTTTTTCAGGCCTGATGTGGGAGCGAGGCGGTGGCACTGCCCGAGAGCATTCAGTTCCAGAAGCCCTGACTTCGTGTTCCAAAGAATCCTTCATCTCCGGAGTCCGCCACGTCCAGGAATCACTGTCTCCCCGTCAGGATTCTCCCCTTGGCCGGGAGTTCACTCCCGTCTTACTTAAAACTGCTCCGTGGTCGGATATCCCCGCAGGGAACTCGTTCTTCCTTCCTTCCCGCACCACGTACTCGCCTTAGCAGGTCGATCGCATTTGCCCATCCTTAGGTCATGCCCACCCCGACCTCGGCCTCTGTCCATCTGGACTGCTTCGTAATCAGCTCTTTCCTAGGTTCTCTGTTTTCACCTCAGAGGTTTCCGAGGTTTGCTGTCTGCAGAGCAATGACGGGGACTTTTAAACCCGCAGATCTGATCCTGCCACTGCCGTTAGTAGACCTCCCTGTTCCCCGCCCCACCACACCCTCACTCTGGCATTTTCTGTTCCTGTGTCTGGTTGTGTCCTTCCAGATCTTCTTAAGACCACTGTGCCACCGTGTGCCATGCATTGTCTTCCTAGACTCATTCTCTGATCCCTTGCTGTGTTATTTTTCTGCTTCTGTTTGGTTTTGAAACAGGGTCTTAACTGTGTAGCTCAGGAAACTCCCCACAATCCTCTTGCCTCTGCCTCCGAGTTCTGAGATTTCGGTTTTATGCCATCACACGTGGCTTTCACTCATTTTTCTAGGATTTTGACTCCAGCAGTCCATGGGCACACACACCCTTCCCTCCCACTACAATCTGTTAATCATGCCAACTTGATTTTGTGGTGCTCGGGATCCTTTTCCTTTTAGGCTAGGAATAGTAAGTATAGCACACACCTTTAATCCCAGCACTCTGAAGCCAGGGGTAGACAGGCCTCTGTGAGTTCAAGGCCAGCCTGGTCTGTATAGTGAGTTCCAGACTAATCAAAGCTACACAGTGAGACCTTGTCTCAAGGGAGGGGGGAAAAGTAACTACTCCAGGCCCTTTTGGGGCACTTAGGCAAATATTCTGTCACTGAGCTACATCCTTATTGCAATAACCTTTTAAAAAGATGTATTTGTAATTATGTGTGTCTTTTTTTTTTTTTCCTTCCGAGGAAGGGTTTCTTTGTGTAGCCTTGGCTGTCCTGGAACTCACTCTGTAGTCCAGGCTGGTCTTGAACTCACAGAGATCTGCCTGTGAGTGCTGGGATTCAAGGCACGTGCCACCACCACCCGGCTTTGTGTGTCTTAAGTGTGAGTTTGTGCACTTGCGCGTGAGTGCCTATGGAAGCATTGGATTCCCTGGAGCTGCAGTTACATGATGTTGGTGTTGGGAACTGGACTCGGGTCCTCTGGAAGAGTGGTATATGCTCTTAACCGCTGGGCCATTTCTCCAGCCCCCAGAAATAACTGTAAATGATGCACCCATCCCTTCTGACCTCTTTCCTGGCGTCAGTCACCTACCACTAAGGTTCTGTCAGTTCTCTTGTTCGTATTGTCCCCTTTTCAGTGTAGAGGCAGTGATGATCCATTCGTCATAACTGTGATCCCGCCCCCCAGGGAAACACCTGAGTCTCCTGAAGGGCTGGAGAGATCACTCGGTGCTTAATAGCACTTGTTGCTTTGGCTTGGGTTCAACTTCCAGCCTCCATATGGTGGCTCACAACCCTCCGAAATGCCATTTCTAGGGGATCTGATGTCCTCTTCTGACTTCCACAGGCCCAAGCATGCATGTGATGTGCATACATATGAGTAGACAAACATTCATACAAATAAATAAATAAATAAACATTTTTTAAAAAAGACAAACAAACAAACAAACCCTGAATGAACCTTTCTCTCCTTGGGCCTTGATTTCCCTTGCCCCTTGCCATTTTGCATAGTTCTATGTTCTGTAACACCCGTGTGGGTGTTTTCTACTCTGTGCCCCCGAGGATGAAGACAGATCATCTTCGCTGTTGTCATGGCAGCCTGCCTCTAGCAGGTGCGAGTGAGTGGCTGGTGCTCAGAAAACATAGGCATGGCTCAGATGCTCAAAAGACACCCCTGCCCCCAGGTCCCTAAAGCGGAGCGGGGTTCCCTCTGACTTCCGTCATGTGTAAGGGCTCGCTTTCCTTACTGCGTATCTTCGAGATGAGCCTCCTGGAGTCAAGCTCCTATCAGACCTGAGTCAGTATGCTCCTTCTAGAGCTGCTCAGGGGTGGGAAGGCCTGGGTGACTTCACTGGGGACTGTCCTGTGCGTTGGAAGCCTGGAAGAGAACGGTCAGTGTGTTAGCAACTTTTCTTGTTGGCTATGCTGTGGGAGCAGAGGTTTAGTTTGGTTCCTGGTTTTGAGGGGTTATGGTTTGTCGTAGTGGGGAAGGTGTGGCAGTGGGTGACTCCTTGGAGGCAGGAGCATGGAGTGGGTGCTGCCTCACATCTGGGCAGACGAGGAAGCAAAGAAAAACCAGTGCTGTTGCTCAGCCTATGTCCCCTTTCTTCCGTCTGAGCCCCCTGTCCCATGAGTTGGTTCTCTTCATACCTAGGGTAGGTTATCCCATCTCTGTTAGTGCTCTCTGGAAAACAGAGACCCCCAAAGGTGTGCCTTGTCCTGCACCCCGTGTTGACTAACCCAGCCACACCGGCCCTTGAAGTCAGTCAGGAAAGCTGTGGTGAGGGGGAGAACGAGAGGGCTGCCTCAGTGGGCCGCGTGGTGCTGTGCCCTGCTGTGGGCACTGCCTTGAGGAATGGCAGTTGGGAAGGACAGGGGACAGGACTGGATCCCTGGTGTGGCCTCAGCTTGGGAGGTGGAGGTGGGGCGGGACCCAGTTGATTTCCTCCTCCCAGAGATCTGCCTTGGGTTTCATTTGTGCAGAATCACATCATCCATGGCTTCCTCCCAGCAGCCAGCATTGCTCCGAAGCCAGCTGTGCCACGCACACCTCCTCCCCGAAGCCCCAGGCCGTCTCCAGAGAGACCCAGGTAGGTCTCAAGACCATCAAGTACTGAACCCTGGCCAACGGGTCACAAGTAGAGGGGCTAGAATCATACCCTTGGCAATATTTACCGCTGTTCCATGGTACGTAATCCAGCTTCTCCAAGGAATGATGGACGTACTGGGGGGTCTGTGTCCTCCAGTGTAGGATCTCAGATTTCATGATTGGGTGCAGTTGGTGCTTATTAAACAGAGAGCACCGAGTTTAAGTCAATCCTTCCTTCCTCCTCCTCTCCCTTCCTTCTTTCTGCAGGGAACGGAAGCCAGGGCCTTGCCTGTGCTCTGCGTCTCGGCCATGTGTTCATCAGGTTAATGGTGCTTTCAGGAGAACTATGCAAAAACGTCTTTCTTTCTAGGTTCTCTTCTGCCTCGTGTTTGTTTGTTGTTTTTCAAGGTGTTTTGTCTTTGTAGCCCTGGCTGCTCCGGTACTCGCTCTGTAGACCAGGCTGGCCGCAAACTCAGAGATCTACCTTGGTCTGCCTCCAGAGTGCTGGGATTAAAGGCATGTGCCACCACCTCTGGCTGCAACAATTTCGCCTCTTAAAAGAACCACTTTGTGTTAAAAGAAGGAACATGTTTCCTGCCCGGAACTGGTGTTCCTCATCTCCTTGTGCTCTGTGTACCAGACAGCCAACTCCCTTCCCATTCCTGGGACCACTGCGTGTGTCTGTCAAGATTTTAGACACTAGGACTCTTTAGACTTGTTTTTTTTTTTTTTTTAAATAGGGTCTTGTAGCCCAGGTTGACTTTGCATTCAAAGCCATTCTCCAGTTTCAGCCTCCTAAGAGCTGAGTTTATAAGTGTGAGCCACCATGCCTAGCTAGTCTGATTTTTTTTTAAATTGTTGCTGTTCTTTAAAATTTTTAAATTTAACCAGGGAGTGGTGCTGCACGCCTTTAATCCTAACAGTCACGAGGCAGAGACAAGCGGATCTCTGTGAGTTCGAGGCCAGCTTGGTCTACAGAGCCAGTTCCAGGACAGGCTCCAAAGCTACAGAGAAACCCTGTCTTGAAAAACAAAACAAAACAAACAAACAAACAAACAAAAACCCAAATTTAAATTGTGTGTATATACCTGTGCCTTTGTGTGTGTGTACTTGGATGCGGGTACTATTGGATCCAGTCCCTTGCAGCTGGTGCTATGGGTGGTTGTGAACCACCCAGCGTGGGTGCTGGGAACCAAACTCAGGTCCTCTGCAAGAGCAGTGCGTGCTCTTTCACCTCTGAGTCCACATCTAGTCTGTTTTTAAGCCATAGAATACAATGGTTGAGTTATTAACTGTTAGTAAGAAATAATTGCACTCCAGGGGCCACTCTGTTTGGTCTTCTTTGGTACTGTTTGTTCTGTGCCTTTGATTAGAAGGTAAACTCTGAAGGGCTGGGCACAGGACTTGCTGAGTCAGCATTTTCCCCGCATACACGAGCTCGTTCCTGGATTCTGGCCCTAACACTGGAGTAGGAACAACCTCTGCGGTGTTCTGGTGTTTGATATTTCCTGCAGCACTAACACGGATAGCCGTTATTAGTGAGCACTCTGTGCCTCTGTCATCTTCTGGGTAACGCTGTGAGAGGGCCTTGTGTGCCTCTATATTTGGGGTCAGCTGTGAGGCTCAGGTGTTA